CGGAAGACAGAGATATTAGCACCTGCACAACTCGTAAACCCTAAACCCTAAACCCTAAACCCTAAACCCTAACCCCTAAATCCTAAACCCTCGGAAGCCGAGTCATGCGGCTGCAGCACCCAAAAGCAGTTTCTGCTTCTCCCTTCAATAAACTCCTTTAGGGTTTAGCAGCGTGGGTCTTGTGGTTTGCTAGGGTTTAGTGGTTAGGGTTTAGGGTTTAGGGTTTAGGGTTTGGGCCGTCATACATTTCTGCAGTCTCGCCTGCTGCATACGTGAGGCTCCCTTCTATCGAATTGGCGGACGGTCCCTTCACAGAGACAAAGCAAAGGGATTTTCAAGGGTTTAGGGTTTAGGGTTTAGAGCCAGCAGCAGCAAAGCCTCCCACACGTGCAGAGGGTTTAGTGCTTAGGGTTTAGGGTTTAGGGTTTAGGGTTTAGGGTTTTGAGTACCGTCGTCGCTGGCGGACCACCACAGGTTCCTCGAGTCGTGGGGAAGCGCTGCAATGTGCTTCACTTGGTTTGAATGACAGCGATAGCGTTTGCTGCAGCAGCAGCAGCAGCATGCAGCAGCAGCATGCAGCAGCAGCAGCAAAAGGGGCAGCAGCACCAGCACGAACAGCAGCAGCAATTGAGGGGCAGCAGCAGTAGCAACATCAGCACCGCCAGCAGCGACAGCAACCTTGACAGCAACAGCAGCATTGGCAGCAACAGCAGCATTGACAGCAGCAGCAGCAGCATTGACAGCAGCAGCAGCAGCAGCAGCAGCAGCGAGGTGTACGTACAGACAAACGCCTCTGTTGATGCTAGACAGCCGCACTTCTGAGTCCATCGCCCCCGTAGCGACAGCCTCCAACCCCAGAAAGGCAACGCCAAACACATTCAATTGATGCCCTGCAGCAGCAGCAGCAGCAACAACAACAGCAGCAGCAGCAGAAGCAACAGCAGGGGAAGCAGCAGCAGAGGCAGCAGCAGCAGCAATATACAGACAGATATAGAGTATGTGCAGGAAGAAGAGACACTGAAATGCGCAAACACAATATACATTATATGCATATACATACATATTGATAAGCAAAAAAAGCATATATATAAAAATATATATTTATATATAAATATATATATGTATATATAAACAAACATCAAAAAGATATACCTGTGGCTATGAGATGCACAGGATGAATAATTCGGTCTTCACTGCGTTGTGAGGGCCCCTCCAGATTGCCTTGTAGGGATCCTAGGGGCCCCATGGGGCCCCTAAGGGGGCCCCCCAGGGGGCCCCCCAGGGGCCCCTCCAGAGTATCCCGGAAGGGCCCCAGGGGTCCCAGGGGGCCCCCAGGGGGGCCCCCCTGGGGAAGCCCTAAGGGGCCCCCAGGGGGCCCCTCCCCTGTATGCTGCAGATCCCATAGCAACACCAACTGATCATCACCTGTGCTCGCTAGCAGTTGGCCTGTTTCACTCCAACAAAGACGGTTAACGCAGCCGCTGTGGCCTGTAAAGAAGCAGAACAAAACCCTAAACCCTAAACCCTAAACCCTAAACCCTAAGTGTAAGAGCATGAGACAAGCGCACCAGTAACAGCAGCGTCTAATGCATGCATGCATGCATACATGCATGCATGCGTGCATGCATTAGGGAAGCACAGGGGAATAGAGTATATCTAACCTTCTAAGACTTCATTGCTTGTAAATCGTAGAGCAGCCAGTGGGGAGAGGGCCCCCTTTGCAGCGCGACCCTCATAGGGGCGCCGTTTCCTACGCGTGTGAAGCGAGAAGGCGTTCCCAGACCTATCCATGCTAAACCCTAAACCCTAAACCCTAAACCCTGGGACGCGTGCAAGGGCGCAGCAGCTCAGGAGCTGCGAACCGGCTGCTGCCGCCTAGCATAAAGAAGCGTGAAGGGAGGGAAGGGAATGAAAATGCAAACAACCGATGAGGGGGTGAGGAGGTGTATGTACACCGCAGCTACTGGTATCCAAGTTGGCTGCCCCGGCGCTGCCTTAGAGCAGAAGGGCCCCCCTAAACCCTAAGCCCTAAACCCTAAACCCTAAACCCTAGAGTGTAATCAAAAGACTTCACAAAAGACAAAAAGAATAAATATGCAAACTGCAATCAACAGCATGCACGCATTCATGAATGCTGAAACATGGGGCTGGCGGCTGTTGCAAGTTCTAGTACAAGAAAGAGGGAAACCGCGAGGAAAGCAGCAGTAAATGCAAAAACCTTTTGATTCAATTGAATTTAAATTATATTTTATTCTCAAATACCTCTTTTTTTCTCTGCTTTCCCTATATTTTATCAACAAATCGTCTACAACAATACCACCGCCAGCGCATGCAAGAAACGCAATAATACAGGTAATGGGTGCTGTAATCCACAAAAAAGCCGTCTTTTTATATTTTTATTTGTTATTTCATTTAAAATACAATTAAAACAAAATAATTACACACTCCAATATATAATACTTAAAGGTTAACTAAGCAGACATCGATGTTGAAACACATTCCTCTCCCATTCAGGTTCAGGAGAAAGCAATAAGAAATACACAACGAGGCGCCGGGTGTATAGGCAGCTCGCCGCATTCTGCATGGAAGTGAGAGAGCAAGTCACAGCAATAATATGCTGTCTTAACAAGCTGGCTGCGTATTTTGTTTTTCGTTGTAAAGGCAGCATCTATCAACGGCTAGCCACAGCTATAGCTACAGCTAGCGATCGGTAGCTGCAGCTAGCTATGCAAAGCTACAGCTGTCTAGAGCTAGCTGAGGCGAGCTTCAGCTGCTTGAAGCGAGCTACAGCTAGCTACGGTCAGCTGCAGCTAGCTATAGCTGGCTAGGGTTAGCTGTTGCTAGACACAGCTAGCTACGGTTTTGCTACAGCTAGCTACAGCTAGCTGCTACGGGTACCTATTATGCCTCTCACTCATTTGCTGCATCAGGGGCTGTGTGTAGCTGCAGTTAACGGCAGCTAACTGCAGATTGGCCTAGCTAGCTGTGGCTAGCTGTATTAGTTCTATGTATTTTTCTTCCTGTGTATATGGGCTGCTACGATCTGAGAGAGTGATTAGAAATAGTTTAGGGAGTCGTTGGATGCATTCAGCTGCTGCAGCAAACGCGTGGTTGCAGCAGCAGCAGCAGCAATTGCTGCAGCTGGAAAGCAGCCACAGGCCCCTTGGGCTTCAGGACAAACCCTAAACCCTAAACCCTTAAGCTTTGCATCAGGTCTCCTTGAGACTGCAGAAACACTCATCTTTCTTTCGAGATTATTATGCATTGAACGTTTTAGGGTTTAGGGTTTAGGGTTTAGGGTTTACAGAAGCATTCATTTTCCCTTCAAGTATATTATGCATAACATGTCTAGGGTTTAGGGTTTAGGCGTCTTATTGTTTTGCTGTGTTTGATCTTCGATTTCTTACCCCCCTATCCGTAAACCCTAGCCCCTAAACCCTAAACATAAAACCCTAAACCCTGAAAGTAAAACCCTAAACCCTAAACCCTAAGGAAAAACCCTTAAGTCTTGCGAAAAGCCCCTAAATCCTAAACCCTAAAACCCTAAACCCTGAGCAGAAAACCCTAAACCCTAGATTGAAAACCCTAAACCGAATAGAGAATAAACCCTAAACCCTGATGAAAAAACCCTAAACCCTAAACTGAAAAACGTAGACCCTAAACTGAAGACGTTAAACCCTAAGCAAGAAACCCCAAACCCTAAACACGAAACCCTAAACCCTTAACATAAA